AATCCATACCTAAACAGCACTATTTCGTCCAATCAGATTTGCGTAACAGTTGTTCCCCCACAATTGTAATCAAAATTCACCTTTTCGGAATGGGGAAAGCTTGGAGTAATTTAAAAGGCGGTGACTATTTGGGCTCACGTCCAAACACTGCTATTTATAGAGCACTTCCACTTTCCCCAACACGGTCTGTGACAGAATTAACCCTGGTTATGTGGTAGCCGGTTAAGATTTAAAAATATACTCCGTATCGAACAGAAGTTGTTTAAATTTACGCTAGACATGCATGTGGTGATGGTTAAAACACACATGCATTGGATTTTTACAGAAATATTAGGCAAGTGACCTAACTTCTACAGATAATTTCTTCGAGCATAAAATTAGGTTTAAGATAGACGCGCTTTCGCTGTATTTTGTGGTTTCAAAACAACCCGCCGTAGGGTATCAGAACACCGAACGATGGCACTGCATTTCCAACAAGGAAAACATGCTTCTATGGCACGAAGAAATCAATTTGTAGAGTTCCCGGTGGCGAGATTGCGTCTCATGAAACGGGAAATTTTCGTTACAAAGGTTTTAGAAGTGATGATATCGATGATAAAGAATAACTCCATCAAGGACAGCAGCCTCGAATGTTTGAGGATGCGGAATCGCAAGCTCTACCGGATGAAGACTCAACGCAAATGCAACGACAGCTTGCAGCTCAGTTAGGAGACACCCAGACAGCCATTTCCAAGCGCTTGCATCATCAAATGGGTAAAATTCAAAAACTTGGATGTTGGGCCAGCATATGAACTCATGCCTTTCACTGCTCGCCTGCCAACAACAAGCAGTAAATGAACTTCTTATGAAAGTGTGTGACGAGTGATGGGAAGTATATTCTTTGTTACGACAATGCCAAATGTATAAAGTCGTGGGTAGATTCCGGACAACCCAGTATATCGACTCCACTTGGAGAAGGTTCTCCTGTGTATCCGGTGGGACATTATGGGCCTACTTTACTATGAACTCTTGAAATCTGGTCGTCAGACGGTGACTGCGGAAAGTAAAATGAAGTTTCCATTGGCAGGTGAGTTGCGCCATCCAACAGACGCTACGACAGTATTTGCATGACCCATTTTCAATAACCGCAGAGTGGGGACTGTAAACTTGCCGTAGGCCCCGGCGTGTGGTACCAACATCGAATTTTATCTCGATTACACTGCCACGTTGTTGTTGCTGCTGCTGTGGTGTTTGCCCGTGTGCACCAATAGCTCAGTAGTGTGAAATAGCGTGAATCACAAATGTGCTTGAGTAAGTTTTGTCATTAGACGTAGTGATAATCCAGGATAAACATCCGCGCAAATTGGTGTGAGTTGGGTTGCTCCATGGCTGAAGGAATACAGTGAACAGGGGGGAGGCAGTGTTTCACCAAATGGAGCTACGGTGGGAGTAATAAGCGCAAACCAACACAATTCAAAACAAGCGTGAGAAAAGTTTGATTTAATTAATTTGTGTACAGCGGTTAAATTCGGAGTGGGAAGTAAAATATGCGCAAGTGGTACAACAATGCCAAACGCATACAAGACGTTCAGGCTAAATTTGTCTATTGCAGAATGGTGGCATTGATCTGGTCCACTGGGGCGAGTTTGAATGACAGCAGGCCGTCATTTAAGGCAACTCGCTACACCACTACGAAACAGGACATGCGAACGTCGTGAGTTTTGGCAGAACGGAACAATCATTTTTAGAAAACCAATCTGGAAGTTAGAGACCTGAAGCACTGATACGAGCTTGTAGTGGACCGTCAGCGATCGCGCGTGATCGAAGACTGCCTACAGGATTATTGATTTCAATGACATCCCAATTTTTCATTCGCTATTGTAATCGATTACCTGTTACGCGCGAGAACTCATCCGAAAACAGGCACACTTGGCTGGCGTGACTTTAGTAATCGGGTGTATCCGTTGTCGCCTCTGTTCTTGGGTTTTTAAGGGCTGTTAACTTGTGAGAGGCAATCTTAGCAAGCAACTAGGACCTGAATTACATCAACTGGGAGTGGCGCTGTTGTATTTGGCGGGCAGACCGCAAAGGAATAAGTTCTTACGGGCCACTTCCACGTGACCAAATGATAAATTCGCAGATGTAGCGCGAGCAGTTCAACTCAATTTTGAAACTTAGGCTAAACGTCCAATCAATCGACCACTGGTAGCCCAACTCACATCGCAAGATCACCCAGTACTAGCCACAGTCCCCTGACCTTACCCAACTGATTTGCATAACTTGTTTTCTGCAACGATGACCTCACAATTCCCCTTCGGGGGGAAGCCATGCAGTTTTCGAGATGGACAGTTCAAACCCTGTACATTAGAGTGCACCGCAGGCCAGCAAACACCATTTTTCATGGTGATTTGATTTCAATTTGCGTACGAACTCTCACAAACACCCAATGAGAGTAGCGCCAGCAATTTTGAATATTGCAGGGCGGTTCAGAGTCCATGGCCACCATTTTGGAAGTCTTCTTCAATGATTCAACCGGTTCAACGAACAGGGCAACGCGATCCACCCAAGGTCACTCTGATTGGTCACAATTTCCACCCCCGTTCCATCATGAGCTGGATCTGGGAGAGATTGGTTGTCACGCAGACTTAACAGATCCACCCAAGTCTCCACATCTAGAAGGTCAAGCAATTGACCTGATCGATCTCTTGTCACATACGCAATATTTCTGTCCAGTGCAGAACCCCACCACTGCAAGTAATCCACTTCTTTACCCCATAAGAAAACAACATTTACAAACAATTTAGTACAAATATTGATCTATACACAGGTGGTAGTAAGGAAAAGGGTAAAAAAGCAGCTGTTAGGGGGAATTGAACGCGGGAGACTCGGTTTTTGCGGTTGCGGGTAAAGACGGTGGGTTCCAGTGGAGACAGGTGCGATCGATGCGTCTGTCCGCCCGCGGCTCGCCCATTTCCCCCAAGATCCGCTCAAACGCCTCCTGAAAGGTAGGAACGGGCCGAATTTCGTGCACGGAAAGAGGTTTCCTCTCACTTACAAAAAATCATTGCTTAGGGAATGTAAGTCATCAGGAACAGTGGCGAAAGTCAACGCCCTTCTTATTAGTAGGGGATCAGGACACGCCTCCGAGGCACTTTCATGGACTATGAAGATGAAGCGAATGGCTGTGATTGATTTTGAATGGCAAAGAAACTGCGACCGAGTTAGCTATACACAATAGTATTAGTGTGCTTTCGTGAGGAACCCAAAGGTCTACACAAAACCAATAACTCGACCCCATTTCGACACTTCCAAAATGGGTAACCAAGCAACAGCACAAGCGACCTTTAACACATAAACGCTAAAATGGCCTTCGACTGTTACCAAAGCGTATTGGTCAGTACCTGCCATGTTCCTGATACGAACGGCTGACAAGGGGACTTGAATTCAAGTTAGTCACTGATCGGGCTATAAGAATTTATCCAGAAATTCGGCGTTATCATCACCAGCAAGCGCGTACTGCGCAGAAAGCATAATTGCATTTTCGCACAAAGCAACCACGCCTCTTTCTGGCAGCAAAATTCGAGATTTTTTGCGTCATAGCGGACGGTTCTTGCACAATTCTTATCGCAATTGGTTGACTGACATGTGATTTTGACTTAACAAACAGAAAAAGTTTTTTTTCGGCGTAATTCGAACCTTGCGCTAGCAAATTCGTGTAATCTGCAAAATTGCAGGTTCGACCAATGAGATTCAAATGAGCTGGATTCCCGTGATTGGTGGATGGAAAGGCGGAGGAAACGAGAGTCACCTCAAGCCTCGTGATGTGTTCGACTGATTTTGCTGATAGTGTGCTGTCCAAGCCAACCGCTGCCTCAAGGTGAGGCAATGTCTACTGCACTAAAAATCAGTTCCAGGCATTCGCGACAGATAACACGTTTTCGTGAAGGCATGGTTCTCACACAAACCCAAATTCAATAAGAAATCAGAGTGTTTCAAGATATCTTCCAATGCATTCATCACTCAATGTACTTTCAAAGGGGAAGTCAACAAGTGTCCCCGACTTGACGAAATCGAACATAATCGAGCTGACGCAGGCGATTGTGAGGGGCGGATCGATAGCAAAGGGATTTGAGTAAGGGAAAAAACCTAGTCCCACAAATTACGATTCTGGCTATGGGCGGTGATGAGAGGATCAGCATTCGATACCGCATCTCTTTGATTTTACCCAAACACTCACTTACGTGGAGCGTTTGCAATTAATTTTGCTTTGATAGACAACTTCAGCAAAGACACGTTAAAATCCGTTGGACAGGCTAATTGACAAGACCTGGTGTTTGCGGCATTACAGATAACAACAATTCCACAGAAATGTAGCCACCTTTCAATGTGAACTAAAAGAGTCCAGAAGTAACACGCACAAATGCCACTACCACCGACAATGACGCTGAATCGAAGCATCGTGAGGAAGCGGCCACATCGGTCATGTCAGCTTGCAAAACGGCACAAACAAATTGCAGGCACAAAGTGCAACACCAAGCAATTTGACACGTCTTTCCGTTTAGCACTGGAGCTTAACCTAAGCAGGAAGCAAACTGAGTGCTACTTTGATTTAAAACAGGTTGTTTCGGGTCCACTTTAGCGCAAAGTGCTAAAACAACCATTTCGACACATGTTGACTTCCGTACAACAACGAAACAGGCATCTGATACTCGCAAGGAGGCACGTGAAGTGCTTGACGGTGATTGCTTTACAGAATAGGCATGTCGGAATTGAGCTAGGCACTTGCTTGTGGTGATTTTTCATTCAAGAATGACTAACCTTTGGATTGACCAAATTAAGTTGGAGACCGGCCAATCAGCGAGGTGGCTGCGCCTGTCAGAACTGATTTTTAGTGATGTCACACAAAGTTGACCGAAGCCGTGACGCTTGACCAACTGAAGCTGAGGCAATCAATGTTTCGCACAACTGCGACAGCCATTGCCGAGATGTCGAATGCATCGCACACCGATTTCGCACATGATATGAAGACGTTTGTTGTTGTGGACGAAATTTAACAAACACAACCACTCACTGGGTGCGGAACGCTTCTACAATTGCACCTGCTTGAGAGAAATCATCACTGTGGATGAACGTTGCGCCGTCTTCGATCACATCAAGCCAAAATCACTATGGAAATGGTTCGTGGTGAACCAGCACAAGCCACCTCGATTACATTTTTGTATCATCGAAGGATCACGCCATCACATCGGTGGGATCACCTCGGGTGTTGCGTGTCTAGACTTGCTCCGCGCTACTCAAACAGTCGATTGCGACGTTCACCGTCAACCACTAGTCATGATTGAAGTGGGAATGCCAGTGAGCGACCAACGACCAGAATTGGAGTAGGAATCGTGGTCCGTCTCACGCGACTTCGGCAACTCGTGCGAATGCAGGAAACGACGACGCATAGCACTGACATTGCACAGGCTGATGCAAACTAGTTCTTAAGGCTGCGAGGCTCGGTGGAAACTGGAACGAGGAGTTATGTGAAGGTGGAATCACAAAACTGTGGAAAAGACAACTACAGCCGATTGGGCCAATTGGACAACGCACATTCGATTAACGCTGATTGCCTGACTTCACAAACGTGTGCTCGACTTGCGCACTACCAAACCGAAACCACTGCATTCATGCTGAATCATCATTGCCAACACGTCACCAGACCAGGAACAAGTAAGGATATGACGACAACAGGAGAGGGAGGCGTGCTGTGCATAAACGACTTCGACTCGTAAGGTGGTTGGACAACGATACAAGAAGACGCCTACCTTGTCGTTGACGATGTAGTACTCCGTGCGGATGTACTTGAGCAGGCCGAGGTCGAGGAGGGTCGAGACGACGTCCTTCACGTCCACGCCTGTCGTCTCGCTGATCACTGTGGACGAAGTAGACACGTTGTGTGAGGAGACCTCATTGAGGTGGCAGGTGGAGGGCGATTGAAGGGGGGTGACATCGTTTGTGCACATTCGAACGCTCGTTGGACGCGCTTCAGTGGCCAACTCAGACACAACTCCACAGCACTTACTTGGTTTTGCCAATACTGACGAGCTAAGTTGGCTAATCTAGGGTCAAGGTCGGGCCAAGCCCCACAAA